GAAAAAGCACAACATGAGAAGGGAACAGGGTCACAGCCACTGCTGAGCTGGGATGAAAGAAAAAGTCTTACAAACAGAAGTAGGAAGAGGAGAGTAGAAGCCAGCATCTTCAGAGAAAGGAGGGTTAACCATGGGGGCAGGAGGGCTATTGTACAGGCAGCACATTTTGTATTAATTACTGTGTATCTGGAGTCCTCAGGGTGAATGGCCACAGCCACATCTCCAGGCAATGTCTCTGGCCTTGTGGTTCCTACTATGACCTCTGCATCTGAAGACAAAAACATTCAAGCACTTACAGTTGGTCATTACCCTCACCCTTCACTTCCAATACAATTAAAGCCAGGAGAACTGGAATTGGCAAGGGAAGAAGCAGACAAGGTCAACAGGCCCCTCGAAGTAACAGAGAATTAGAAGGCATGTCTACATGGGCCCAGGTTTCCTGTAAGCACATGACCAGAGGCCTGAGTGGTATTGGTACAAAGGAATCCTCAATAACTAGACAGGAGAAGTGGGAATAGCATTAATAAAAGCAATCAGAATCCTGCTGGGCACCCAGAGGACCCAAGGGTGTCTCAGATCCTAACTGCAAATGCTGTGCCTTCTCCATGGCTAGGGCCAGACCCCCTGTAAAACACTTCTTCAGATTATTCTGCTCATCTCTCTCCCCCTTTTCTGAACTACAACTGATTCTTTGTCTCTTTCCTGAGTAGCAGACTCCTGCAAAATTACACTAAGTTCCCAAAAGGCAAGGCCAAATATGCTTTTCTTTTCTCTTTTGTTTAATTTTTTTTGTAGCTGTAGATGAACAGCATGCCTTTGTCTTATTTCATTTTTATGTGGTGCTAAGGATTGAACCCAGTGCCTTACATGCTAGGCAAGTACTCTGCCACTGAACTACAGCTCCAGCCCTCTTTTTTTTTTTTTTATGCTTTTTAAATTTTTTTTAGTTGAAGAACACAATATCTTTATTTTATTTATTTATTTTGATGCAGTGCTGATATAACCCAGTACCTCAAATGTGCTAGGCAACTGCTCTACCACTGAGTTATACCTCCAACCCCCATATATGCTTTTCTTAATTCCCATAGTACCTAGGTAAGTGTCCACAATGGTGCAAACTCTACTAGGGCACTACACAGCCCAACATGGGCTGGAGGAAACAGGAAAGTGGGCAACCCTTCAGAGGAGCACACTCACCAGCCTCTCCATCCACAGGGAAGGCAACAAAAACAAGGAGACCAAAAGACACAGGAGTGGGGCAGCCGGGCAGTCGGAGCTCCGTGCGACCTGGGAGGGACCGACTCTCCACCTGGAGAGGTCAAGGCAGCCTCTCTGTAAAGCTCACACCTAGAATTCCTCTCCCCATTGATATTTATGCCCCAACCTCCCTATAATCCATCTAAATCCCATTCAGAAGAGCCACCTCCCTTTATCCTCACCCAAATTTTGTTAGAGTAAATATTCACTGAGCACCTAAGCACAAATTCTCATCTAAACTTTACAACAGTCCCACAAGGCAGGCATTCCATCTCTCTGATTTATAGGTTAAGGAAGTAGAGACTGAAAGAGGCTAAATAGCATGCCAAAAGTCACATAGCTGGTTGTGGCAGATTTGAATCCAAGCAGTCTGGCTCCAGAGTCTGAGCTCTTAACTACTTGCCTACCCTGCCTCGGAGCTCTCACAAACAGACTTCTCTTCTTCTGCCTCACCTCAATATCCGAGATAGCTGATCTTAAAGCACATGACCAGTTGACAAGCTGATGGTTCCGGTACAACAATCCTGCATTGTAGAGTCGCACAAAAGCTTCGGTCACAGCCACTGAGGAGCCCTAGAATGACCTGAGTGTCCACATCTAGCAGCCCCTTCTCAGAATGTCTCCCTTCAAGGACCTGGTCACTTCTACTTCCCTTTCCCAATATATTTAATAAGCCCCCTCCCACACAGATCTCTAACCACACTCCCCTCTAACATCCACAGAGACCCCAGTGTAGGACACTCACAGCATCCATGGTAAAACACTCTCGATCCCAATCCAGGGAGGCACCCAGAGCACGCAGCTGCTCATAAATCTCTCCTCCTTTCCTGCACCCAGAGAAATACCTGTCAGCAGACATATCCCAAGCACCTTCTAGGTACCAGGCCCAGTGCTGCCTCCACCAACACCAAGTATTGGAGGAAAACAAAAGTGCGTATAACACAAATCATCTAGCCTCTAGAAGCTGATGGAAACAGACCCACAAACCAAGTGGAGGGCTTTCTAGGACATTAAAAGAAGCATAACAGAGGAGGGGAAGCCAATCTGTGGAAAATCCAAGAAAGCTGCACAGAGAAAACAGCAAGTGATAAAAGACCTAGAAGAATGAGAGAAATTTTAAGGGTCTGGAAGTTGGGAATGGGCAAGTAGGAGAGGTGATGAAATCTAAGCAAGAGAAAGTGAGAAAGTGAGATAAGTAGACAGAATATATATATATACACACACACATACACAAACATCTATACAAATATACACACAAACACATCTTTTTTTTTTTTTCTTTTTGATACTGGGGATTGAATCCAGGGACACTTTACCACTGAATCACATCCCCTGCCCTTTTTATGAGAATGGGTCTCACTAAGTTGCTAAAGGGCTGCTAAATTGCTACAGCTGGCCTTAAACTTGCAATGCTCCTGCCTCATCCTCCTGAGTCACTGGGATTACAGGCATGCTCAGCTCAAACAAATACATTCTGATGTATATAAAATACATACATATACACATACAAAGCTAAGAGACTTCACCCAATACTAAGGGGTTTCAGAGTTCCCATCTCTGAAAAGTGAGAACTGTGTTGAGATGAACTGAGGTCTACAAGTTAGGAGAGACAGTAGTGGAAAACCAGAGCTCAATCTGCCAACACTGGGTGGCCCCTGCAACCCAGATCATCACACTCACGCCTCCTTCCACTGCCACACCACCCTAAGGAAGTCTTCTCGGCTCAGCTCGTGTCTCCTCACTCCCTGCTCCTTCCACAGTTGTTTCTCCACCACAGCCTGCAGTAGGTGTAAGGCAAATGCATAACAAAGCAAGTTGCTTTTGGAGAAGATACCACTTTTGCCTGAGAAAAGGAAAATGACAAAAAGACCTACTTGTGTAGCAATTCCTGCATGATCTGAGCCAGGAACCCACAGCACTTGATCTCCCCGCATCCGGTGCCTGAAACAGAAATACCCTCACTTGAGACCCTGAGTTCACATGGTTATTTTCATTCATTCCTGCACTTTTTATTTCCCCTCCAAGAACTGCAGTCCCCATTCCCCTCACCAGCGCACGAGGGCATCCTGTATGGCCACTGTGAGTGCATGGCCGATGTGCAGGGAACCAGTGACATTGGGAGGTGGGATACACATGGAAAAGGTCTCCCCTGTAGCCTGGGGCAGTTGTGCCTAGAAGAAAGTCAAAGAAGAGGACTGGATATTACCTGGGGCAATAGCACCCTCTGGTGCCTCCAATGCAGAAAGAACTTCTAGGAAATAACAAGAAAATGTGAGGCAAAAAAAAGAAAGCTATGAAATATGAGCTCAATTCAGAGGCTATTGTGCCCAACCTCAAAGGCCACTCTGTCCTGGGAACCATTTAGTAACCCTCTCTTCAAGACACTAACCTGGTATTCTGGTTTGAAGAAGCCCTCTCGCACCCACCATGGGTACCAGGCAGCCTCAACATATCGGGGGCTGTAAGCAGGAGGCAGAGGCCCAGAAACATCTGTGGAAGCAGAAGGGCAAAAGACTAACTATTGAACTTTCTTCCAGGCTGCATTTCAGCAGACCAAATGGGCAACAAAAATATGAGAGATGGCCTTCAGATCCCCTGGTTACCTTTCTTTTCACCAGGTTTTGTAGGGATTTCATACAATAGTATCTCTTTAGGACTCCAGGCTTTAGTGGATTCTGCAGATGACTGGTGGGATGGAACAGAAAGAGTTTGTAATTCCCAGTATACCTCAGCCATCTGGATCCCAGTCGTCTCCTCCAGGCCCCTTCCAAGTTTCAAACCCAAGGATAGACTGACTTCTAACCTTGCTCTTCCCTGCAAGTCCAGCCTCCAGAGCCGCCTGCTTCTCCCGCAGACGCTTCTGTTTGGCTTCACGGTTCCTCCGGGAAAGGGAAGATCCATAGGGCTCTGACTGTGTAGAAAGGGAATGGGGCCTAGGGAGGCCCCATGAGGGCCTCAGGCCCCACAGTGGTGGTCGAAAAGAGGCCAGAGGCAAATGAGGCATGAGGAGTGTTTGGGAAGAGGTCAAGACCTGTTCTGGATAGACAGAGAGCACATAAGGATTCGGGATGCTAGAGAGTCACACCCACCAGTCATTCCCTTATTTCCTGCCTCCTCCTAGCAGTGCTCTCTCATTCTATCTCCTTCCACACAACTCTGCCTCCTTAAGTGCCTGAGTAGTTGTATCGGGAGATACCGGACCCTGCAGTCATGGAGACTAGGGCGCTTCTGGAGCAGGGTCGGAGAGTCTCTGCCCCTCGACCTATGCATCTGCGACACGACGCTGACTGCTGACACAAGGAACGGAGAGGTTTCAATAGTTTGAGAGGTGATGAGCATCCGCGCGCCTAGGAGCGGATAAGAAGCCCCGCCACAGACACTAGGCTCACCGCCTGCCCTGGAGCCACCCATAAATCCCCAGCTCCCGCGGACCAGTCCTTCCGCTAGGCCCACATTGTGCGCCAGACCCCGTTGCCCCTCCCACGTCCTGGGAGACACCCCATTGCACGCTCACCCCCACGACCCCACCGCTATCCCAGGGCGCCCCGCGGTGACAGGCGCCGGCGTACGGACCCCGGAACGTGGCCGGCAAGCCCCGCGCACTAGGAGGCGGGGCCCCGCGAGGCGCATGCGCGGAAGCTGTCCTCCCGCCACCTGCAAGACTTATGGCAGCCGGAGCCAAGGAACCGGTACAGTGCGGCAGGGGAAGCCCGCGAGGAAGCGATGCGAGGCAGCCGCAGAGCTCATTTCCATAATTTTATTAAACAAGATAAGCCCTGGCGTGTAAATAAAAAAGCACCTGAGTTGTGAGGCCGCGCCCTCCGTCACACGGCCGTCTTGCCCGCCCAGCCCGGTCCCGCCCGCCCAGGTCCATGGTGGATTAAGCTCTTTCAGGAGCTGTGCTTCTGCCGCTTCCAGAAGCGCTTCACGTCACTGTGCCCGGCGGGGGTCACCACCATGAGTCGTTTAGCCGAGTTCTCGAACACAAGCACGCCCAGCTCCCGTGCGTGTGCCAGCAGCAGCTCAAAGTCCACTTGCGACAGGAACTGGTTATACAGGACACCTGGGGTCGGCAGGACAGGAGGACCGGGAAGAGGGGAAGAGAATGAGGCTGGAGACCCTTTATTTAGCCCCAGGAGTCTTAAGGCAACCTCTGTGCTTGCCCCACAGCTACTTTTAAAAACAATTGTCTATCCTTGTCTGCCCAGGGCCTAGTGTTCTCCAGCCATATTCAAAAAGTCAATATAAAACAATAAGAAAACCCGTGAAGGTCCATGAAACCCAGGAAAATGACTGAATTAAGCCCCCCCCCCCCAACTTTCTCTCTCAGTCTAATCCACACTGCACTGATTTGGATCAATTTTTTTTAAAAATATTTATTTTTTAGTTTTAGATGGACACAATATCTTTATTTTATTTATTTATATGAGGTGCTGTGAATCGAACCAGGGCCTTACACATGCCAGGCAAATGCTCTACCACTGAGCCACAACCCCAGCCCCTGGGTCAATTTTTTTTATTGCTACTAATTCGCCCCTGCCACATTCCATCCCCAAAAAAAGTGTCTTGCCAGACACTCCCTTTCTGTGCAGTGCACAAAAAATGAAATGCACAGAAACTCCTCTGCTCATCAAGACTGCCATTCTTTTGGCCAATGACTTAAACTCAAGAAGCCACTCACCCTCAGTGAACCGTAGTCTGTCCCTTTCTAGCTCCCACAGACGAATCTGGTCAGTGATGGTAGGGGGCAACACAGGGGTCTGCAGGAGCAAAGAGTAGGCTGTAGGGATTTAAAAAATACTGCCCCAAACAACCCCATCCCTCTAATCATCTCCAAGATTTGGACCCTTTTTCTTTTCCATCATCTGCCAGGTGCCAGCCCCCTGGCTTATTGGTACCTGTCCATACCTGTTTGAGCATCACTGGGTGAGCCCTTGTCCTTAGGAAATGGATTATCTAGGAAAACAGACAAAAATGAGATGAGGGCTCAAATGAGAGGGCAGAAAAGTCATCAGAGTTCTCACCTGTCTCGGAACACTCTTAACTCTATTTAACTCTACTCAACCCATTCCTGTTCAGCTGTTATCCCAAGTTGCTGCTCCCACTGATCATGTCTGCTATTCCTTCTCTGGCACATTTGCTCTTTCCATAGTCTTATTTATTCTTTCTTTAAAATAGCAGTAGCTACTATATTTTGAGCACTTACTGCTCAACAGACTCCAAGTTAAAAGCTTTACCTCTAGTCTTCCACTGAATCCTCCCAACAACCCTGTGAGCTGAGAAATATCATTTACCATCTGAGGAGACTGAGACTCAAAGGTAAGGCAACTATGATCAGTTTACACAGCTAGAAATAATAGTGCTGAAGCACAAATCCAGAGCTATACCTTCTCCCTCCATGTATTTCTCCCTCAAGGGTCTCCCTATTCCCACAACTAAGGCCCTGATTTCTCCTTACATTCCTTGTGCTCAAACACAGACAACTCATCACCACAACTGTGACAGACTTGAGGCTAGCCTTCCATGATGGGCCACTCTATACCCCAAGGCCCACACACAGCCCATCTTTACACCTCTGTTTCCCCCAAGTGGGGATACCTGCTGGGCTGTGATGCCACTGGCAATGGCCTGCTGCACACTCTCCCGGGTCACCTGTGCCACAACCATGTTGGGGAAGCGATAGAGCATCTCAGAGAAGAGGGCAATGAGGGCAATCTGCAGCTCCGACTCTGACCCAGGGATAGGAAGAGAAGATAAGAAAGCTACCCTCATATTCGGACTCCCTTGAGCCCTTCCCTCAAACATGAGGAGAAATATTAAAAAGCTCTATAAACCACCAGTAAATGTAAACATAAACTGCATCCCCTCCCACTCCCACCCTTAATCTGCTCTCCCTCTGTCCAGTCTCACCCGTGTAGGCATATAGTCGGTAGTTGGTTTCCACGACAATGAAGCCTGGCTGATGCACAGTGCCCCCAGCCCCAGAGACACCTGATGAGAGATTGATGGCCAGGCGTGTGGGATAGTAACGTCGAGATTTCCTCTGGGAAGGACAAAGGGAAAGACAAAGGTCACCTGTCAGTTGCCCTACATCTTCCTGCTTGGGACATCAGATCCCTCCCAGTGCACAGAGCCTCAACCTTCAACTTCCTCCCCAAGTGACCCAAGTACTCAGTCCTGGCAACTGTTTCCTGCTGGTGCCAAGACCCAACTTCCCTAGAAGCCATGTATCTGGATGTTCATACCTTCCTCTGGAAAACAAGTCCAAACTCTCGCAGATGTTGCAGGAAATTCAACAGAGAATCACTCATACCCTCCACAGAGTAATCCTGGGGAAAAGGTAACTCCTTTTCAAAACACATCCCTTCCTCCCTCCCTCAGTACCATAGACTCATTCCCACCTCCCCCTTCTCTGGTCGTTCTATGTTCCTTCTTATTTTCTCACTCTACTGCCCCAACCTGACTTCCCCTTCCCATCTCCTTGTCCTCTAGCCCCATACTTACCTTGCCCAGAGTAGAGAAGCTGAGCTGAAAGAGGAAGGAGAGAATCTCCACTAGGTCCATACCCCGGCTCTGGGAAGAAAGGGACAGAAACAAATGAGAAATGGGAGGGGGAAAATGAAGGAGAAAGACAGGGAAGAAAGAATAGAGAACAGTCTATAGGTGGTTATCTCTCAGTGGGATGTAAGAAGATCAAAGCATGCTGGCAAGGAGCCCTGGCCTCCTCACCTGGGCTGTCTGCAGATACTGTAACATAAAGTACCAGAGTTGGGCAGGTGTGTCCAACAAGAGGAATTGGAAGCCAGCAGAGGTAATGCAGGGCGGCTCTCCAGGTTCAGTACTAGACACAGAAAAGGACAATGACAAAGATATGCATAGAAAGACTACCATCTCCACATGACCTCTTTTTTTAAAATATTTATTTTTTGGTTGGACACAATATCAATATCTTTATTTTATTTATTTATTTTTATGTGGTGCTGAGGATCGAACCCAGGGCCTTGGACATGCTAGGCAAGCGCTCTACTGCTAAGCCACAACCCCAACCTTCCATGTGTCCTCCTATGCTTCTTCTAGGTATCTCTGGATGTATTCAATCAATTCCCTCCAATCCTGACTCACCCTGGACACCTATTTTATCAGGGCCCCAAGAAGATGGCACAGCAGCTCCCTCAGGCTTCCTCACCTCTTCATGAGCCCAGCCTGGCTGAGGAGCTGAGCCAAATCCTGGCTGACAGCTGCACTGGGAGAGCCCACCATGAAGTGTAAGACCACCTAGAAATGGAAGACAACAGAGAGACCAAAGTATCCACAAACCACAGGAAGTAGAAACACAGTAGAAATACACTTAGATGCCCATGTCCTCACCTCCCATCGCTCCTCAGCGTACTTGTCAAGTGAGGGAACATCCCGGGCATGCTTGTCCGGTCCCAGTTGACTTGTGTCATCAGACCAGGCCTTCCCCCTATGGCCAGGATATGCCAAGAATAAGGAGGCCTATCTCTTTCCTGCTGCCCTTCAATCTTTCACACCTTTAACCCATGGGTCATACATCCTACATCCTACAGCCATATCTGGTCCAACTTATTCCTGAATGAGCTCCCAAAGGTCCCAGGACCCTAAGGTTCTGAGGCGGCTCCTCAGAAGTTCTCCTCCAGCATGTAATTAGCAGTTCCCGGCCTAGTTTAGGAAGAGACGGAAGTAACATACCCACCCAGAAGGGCAATGCGAAGATTCTGGCGAAAGATGGGGTTGAGAATAAAGCCCTGAAGGCCACCAGGGAGCAGCTGGGTGTGCCAGATGCGGAGGCCACTCAGCAGCCCTGTACTTTCTTCCTGAGCCCTGGAACAGAAGTAGAGAGGTGAGAAGGGTGTCTGAAGAGCAAAAAGAGAGCCATAAAGGCCTCCATTTCTGCCTTTTCTGAACTGGTGATCCTTGAAACAGTTCTACATAGTCAAATTGTGCCTTCTTTTTTTTTAATATATGTATTTTTAGTTGTGGAGGGACCTTTATTTTATTTATTTGTATGGGTGCTAAGAATCGAAACCAGTACCTCACGCATGCTAGGCAAGCACTCTTACCACTGAGCCACAACCCCAGCCCAAATTGTGCCTTCTTAAGATAAATGTCTTCACTGAAATGCCTAGCAATCTACAAGAGTCTCATTATTGACATCCCAATTCTCCAAGAGGGAAAATATAGCAGTTTCCAAAGTTTATTTAATGACAAGTTTTGCAATACACCCATTAATAAATTAATATTTCCTGGAGGGAGTGGGGGTGTAGCTCAGTGGCAGAGCACATGCTTAGTGTGCATCTCAAGGCCCTGGGTTCAATCCCCAATGCCCAAAAAATATATATATGCATATGTGTGTTTATGTGCATATGTGTATGTATGTGCACATACACATATATATGTATATGTATATGTGTGTGTGTGTGTGTATATGTGTGTGTGTGTGTGTGTGTGTGTATAAAACTTCTTGAAAGTGTTCCAAAGAACAGGAGTTTGGGAAATCTAGAGGTTGAGAAATTTGCGTTTAGCTGAGAATGCAATAGAGACTCACTTGCTGAATTCCTTCTTCACCCACAGGGCTACAGCAGCTTGTGGCAAAGGCTGCTCCAGAAAGAGCATCCGCATCACCCAGTTTTTAGCTAAAGATGGGAGCTCCCTGTAGAGGGTAGAAGTCAAATATTAGTATCAGAAGCTGTCCCATAACTGAATCTCTGCTTTCAACTGCCTCTCAAACATCTCATCTCATCCCCATATCTTTACCAGTCCTGTTGCCTACACAAGCTCCATCTGTTTTGGCCTTCCACATTTGGGAGTAATCTCCAATACCCCTCTACCATCACTAGGCCACTAAGCTGCTACCCATGATAATTATTCCAGTCTCAAATCCCTATTACATTTCCCCACCATGATCCCTGACACAAAGAAGTCTCCTCACCTAAAGACAGCCAGACATGTGGCAGGATGCCCATACAATCGGTCCAATACCCCAGGGCTCAAGCCCCCTAAGAATTCCTGTAGATTCCTGCATTGTAGGTGTACTCGATTCAGTCCACCCCTTGCAGGGGTGCTCTCCATCACCTGAGGGATGCAAATGTTAGACATACATCCAACATGATCCATGCCAGTGTCACCCCTAATCTTTCTGTTTCCAGATCCATCAGCCCATAACCCCATCTTTTCTGAGGTTTCCTCTCCCACATCACTTATCTCTTATTTCTCTCAAACTTCACCAACCTCCAACCTCCCTGCCTTTCCTGCTTCCTTATACCAGTTCTGCCCTAAACTCCAGTTTTCCCTCGGTTGTCCTTCTCTCAAAATTGTCGTGTGCTTGAAAAATCATTTGGTATTCGAATGACTTGTCTCATCTTTGCTAAGCAGAGACAAAGAGATTTGTGTGCACCCAGTACTATCCCCGCTTCTCTTCTACTCCTCCTACTCCTTCTACAAGCCCCAACTCTGTCAATCCTCCCCATATGGCAATAAACTGCCTCTTCCCTCCATGCTTCCCAAATCTAAATCCACCTCTATCCCCTTCCCTCCCCAAAGTCTACTTCACCCTCTCACTGAGAACCACACCGTCCAATCTCCTAATTTCTCGCCTCTCACTCAACTGTCTTCATAACCCTGGCCCTCTTGGGCCCCTTCACCACTCTGTCGATCCCCCTCACGCACCCCGGGTCTTGAACAGTTGCTTAATCAGAGCCAGTGTCTCTTATTAGCTTCCAGAGAAAGAGGAAAGGATGGTGAAAAAAGCGAGAAAAAGATGCGCGAGCGGAAAAACTTCAGACAGGAGCCCAGTGTGAAGTATTCAGAAGAGAAGCGAGAGCAGGGAAGGAATGGAATGGAAGAGTGGAAAGGATGAGAATAGGGGCTGCACTTGTCCGCCGCGAGGCATTCTGGGAATTAGAGTCCTATCCTTGCCCATGCTGGAGCAGGTCTGAGGAGTGTCTGACTACAACTTCCGAAAGGCACCGCGGGAAAATGGGGAGGAGAGTGGCTGTCTTTTAATTGACAGAACCAGGAACACCAGAAGCCTGGGTACTTCGTTCCGCGGCATTCTCGACCCAGGCTGCTAACGGCCGGTCTAACCGGCCGGAGCCGGAGGACCTGAGGGTAAAAGTAGCCTGAGGGCTTCCAGTGGGAGGCGCGCTGAAGTGACCCGGTTGCTTGGACTGCAACAGCTGGGCTCCTTGAGCTTAGTTATACCATAAAATTGGTTACTGCACATGTAAAGCATTGTCACCAGTTAACGATCTAGTACGCCTTACTTGGCAAGTAAGTACTCAATAAATCTACATTTCTGCCTCGGCCACGCTACCAACCCCTATGTAGTTCGGGATTGATTCAGGTTTTTTGTTTTGCTTTTGTTTTCCCTGTACTGGTGATTGAACTCAGGAGTGTTATATAATCAGCTATATATATAGCTGGGTTTTATATTCAGCCGCCCCCTCAACCCTGTTTTGTTTTGTGCGGGGCGGAGGTGGAGGTTTGTTTTGTTGAGAGGGTTTCTCTGAATCGTCGAAGCAGGTCTTGAACTTGGGGTCCTCCTGCTTCCAGCTTCCCAAGTAGATGGGATTGCAGGAGTGCGCCACCACACCAGTTTTTTGGTTTTTTTTTTTTTTTTTTTGGGGGGGGGGGGGCGGTGTGTGTGTGTGTGTGTGTGTGTGTGTGTGTGTGTTTCTGTTTCTGAGGATTGAACCAGGGACGCTTTGCCACTGAGCTGCATTCCCAGCCCTTTTTATTTTTTGAGACGGGGTCTCGCTAATTTGCTGAAGCTGGCCCGGAATTTGCCATCCTCCTTCCTAAACACCCCCCCCCCTCCAGTCGCTGGTGTTATAGGCGTGTGCCACCGCGCTCAACTCGCAAAAATAAAAAAAAAAAAAAAAAAAAAAAAAGGAGTTGTTTGCTCTGATTTGATTTATGAGTTCTGCAGGAAAGTCAAAGGAAAGCCTTCAGCCTAAACCAGAACTACGTTATTTCCCCCAAAATTCCTATAAAGCAAATTCTGTTATTCTCACTTAACAGAATAGAAGGCCAGAGCCCAGCAAGGCTAAGAAATTTGCCTACAATCAGACAGCTAGAAAGTAAATCTGGGATCTGAAGTGCATTTGCCAGGGACGGTTTACTAAAATGGTAAGGGCTGTAAGACTTTGTTAGGCTTTGTAGCACATGTGTTTTGTTATTCCCTGTTTCTTTAGCAGTGTTTTAAGTTTCTCAAAGAACAGCACAAAACTGACAATGCTTCTTTATGGCAAACACTAAGTAAGGTTATAAAACAAATTATACAGTCTGGGGAGAACTGTTTGTTAAAACAGACAAACTGCACAAAGCTCTTACAAAGCAATAAGAAAAAGAAGCAGAAACATTAGCAAAAGATAAGCAGCAGAAGAAATACAAATGCCTTTTAAAGAGATTTTAAAATTGTCACTTCAGTTGTAATTAGGGAAAGGAAGTTAAAGTAACAAAAATACCAGAAACTAAAGGAGCAAAATTTAAAAAAAAAAAATCAAGGCTTCACATTGGCCAGGCTTAGGAACATACTCAGACACTTGAAAGCTGATAGAGACACACCCACACACTGAGATTGGACCCAGGGACACTCTAACCACTAAGCTACATCCCAGCCCTTTTTATTTTTTATTTTGAGACGGGGTCTCACTAAGTTCCCCAGGCTAGCCTGGAATTTGCCATTCTCCTGCCTCAACCTGCCTAGTAGCTGTGAACATAAGCATAAGCATGTGTCACTCACTGCACACAGCTTAGTCTCACCTTTTTTTAAGGAAAGTTTGTCCATGCAGTAGTCCCCCTGTGTTAGTCAGCTTTCCATTACTTTAACAAATGCCTTAAGTAATCAATTTATAAAAATAAAAGATTTATTTTGGCTCATGGTTTTAGAAGTTTCAGTTCACAATCAATTGACCCCATTGCTTTGGACACACGGTGGTACATTATGGAAGGATTGCAGAGTAGAGCAAAACTGCTCACCAATGATTAGGGAGTGAAAGAGAAGAGGAGAGCTGGGATCCCACTGACCCCTTTAAGGGCAAACTCCCTGTGATCTGAAGACATCCCATTAGAACCCTCATCTTTAAAAGTTTCCACAACCTTCCAATAGCACCATGCAGGAGCAAGTTTTCAACATACAGAGGATGTTCCAGATTATAGCTTCATTTCCTCCCCCATTTGTAGTTTTGCTTTTTTTAGGTTTCAGGTGCTTACAGTCCATTGTGGTCTGAAAACATTAAATGGAAAATTCCAAAAGTAAGCAATTCATAAATTTTAAATAAATTTTATTATAGTATATTATAATTGTTCCTTTTTATTACTATTTATTGTTAATCTCTCACTGTATCTAATTAATAAATTAAACTTTATCATACTTAGGAATATATAGGAAGAAAGAAAGTATATATAGAGTTTGGTACATCTGGGGTTTCAGGAATCCACTGGGAGTCTTAAAATATGTCTCCCAAGGATAAGATTAAACCCTTGTTTCTACTAACAATTTTGTTTTGTTTTATTTTTTAGTTGTAGTTGGACACAATACCTTTATTTTATTTATTTTTATGTGGTGCTGAAGATCAAACCCAGGGCCTCACACCTGCCAAGCGAGTGCTCTACCGCTGAGTCACAACCCCAGCCCTCTACCAACAGTTTTTTTTTTATTTTATTTTTTTTCAGTTGTAGATGGACACAATACCTTTCTTTTCCTTGTTTATTTTTTTGGGGTGATGAGGATCAAACCCAGGGGCTCATGCATGTGAGGCAAGTGCTCTACCACAAGCCACAACCCCAGTCCCTCTACCAACAGTTTTAATGTGACTATCTTTTAACCTGGAAACTCCACCTTTGAGAATGTGTTATATGGAAATTCCCCCACATGGTACTGAGTTAAGCGCAAAGATGTTTACTAAGGTGTTTTTCTTGTATTAAGAGAACAGTGCAAATGGCCCAAATGACCATCCTTGTGGGTTGGTTACATAAAATGTGGGTCATTGCAACAATGTAGAATACCGGGCAGCCCTTAGGAGGTCCCTGTATGCACACTGGCGTTGAACTATCTACACCAATCACCAGGGAGAGAAAAGCAAATAAAAAGCAGCATACTGGGAAAGCTGGGAATGGAACCACCATTTGACCCAGCTATTGCCCTTCTCAGACTATTCCCTGAAGTCCTTAAAAGAGCGTGCTATAGGGATACTGCTACATCGATGTTCATAGCAGCACAATTCACAATAACTAGACGGAGGAACCAACTTAGATGCCCTTCAATAGATGAATGGATTAAAAAAATGTGGCATTTATACACAATGGAGTATTACTCAGCACTAAAAAATGACAAAATCATGGAATTTGCAGGGAAATGGATGGCATTAGAGCAGATTATGCTAAGTGAAGCTAGCCAATCCCTAAAAAACAAATGCCAAATGTCTTCTTTGATATAAGGAGAGCAACTAAAAACAGAGCAGGGAGGAAGAGCATGAGAAAAAGATTAACATTAAATGGACGAGAGGTGGGAGGGAAAGGGAGAAAGAAGGGAAATTGCATGGAAATGGAAGGTGACCCTCACTGTTATACAAAATTATATATAAGAGGATGTGAGGGGAAGGGGGAAAAAATCAAGGGAGAGAAATGAATTACAGTAGATGGGGTAGAGATAGAAGATGGGAGGGGAGGGAAGGGGGGATAGTAGAGGATAGGAAAGGTAGCAGAATACAACAGACACTAGTATGGCAATATGTAAAAAAGTGGATGTGAAACCGATGTGATTCTGCAATCTGTATACAGGGTAAAAATGGGAGTTCATAACCCACTTGAATCAAATGTATGAAATATGATATGTCAAGAGCTATGTAATGTTTTGAACAACCAATAAAAAAATAAAAATAAATAAAAAGCAGCATACTCCATTCAATGGCATCAGTGTAACACCAAGAGAAGCCATATGCTTCATTTTAGAGGGAGCAGGCAGGAGGGACTGGACAGATCATGTCACAGTTCCTTACACTCTAAGGCTGTGTTGTCAAGTATTATAGCCACAAGCCACCTGTGGCCATTTACATTTAAGTTAACTAAAATAAAAATTTAAAGCCAGTCTCTCAGTTACACTAACCCTGTTTCAAGTACTCAACAGCCGCAGGAGGCTGGTAGCAGCCCATCAGACCATAGGGATAGACCATTTCTATCCTGACAGTTCTTTGGGAGAGCACTGTCCTAATGGATATGGGCAAGCTGTCTGATGGCAGGAATTAAACTCAGCCTTAGTTTCTAGAATTGGACTTGAGGAAGAAAATCAGCTTGATAATCCAGCTAGGCCTAAGAAGGGAATTTAGGAGCTAAAATTGTGCAAAGATCACAATTTCATAGCCCTGTCAAGCACAGGCTTGTCCTGCCTGTACTTGAAAGCTCCTGAGATAAAACATCTCATAACTCCTCCCCTCAAACAGCATCCTAGAGGAAAGAACCTGGAGACAGGCCCACTTCCTACCAACTTTACTATTTACTGGCTATGCTGCCTTTGGCGTAGCCTAACAGAAGTTAATAATTTTAACTAATTCATACATTGTGTTAAATAAGATATGTGTAATAGTATTATATGTGGTATATAGTATGTGCTCACTAAAATATTATCATTATCTTCTATAACTTTTTTAATCCTAGTTCTCTTAAGTGCACAGAATCATGTTAACCCTTCACATATTTAATATAATTCTTTCTTTCAACCAAGATTTATTGAGTCATGTGTTCCAAGAATTTGCCCTTGTGCAGCTTACAGTCAAGCAAAAGAAGCAGGTGTTTTTTTTAAAAAAATACACAAATACATGTAAAATCACACCTATGATAAATGCTACAAAGAAGGGATTCATGTGCTCTGAGAGTGTCATTAGGGAATTTGACCTGGTTGGGTAAGATTGCTGAAGGGCAAGCAGGAGTTAACAAGGCAGACTATAGGGGACATTGTTCCAGGTGGGGGGACAACATGCTACAAAGCCCATGTGGCCAGAAGGACTGGCCTTTGGGGGAAATTAAAAACTCAGTGGTACATGGGGAGGGACAGAAGAGTGCTGGGGAGGAGTACCAGGACCAATCTTAGCCAGGAAGATTTTGTTCTTTAAACCTTGATGGAGGGCTGCGGGTATAGCTCAGTGGTAGAATATTTGTCTAGCATCTGCAAGGCCTTGGATTTGATCCCCAGCACCACAAAATAATAATAATAATAATTTTTAAAATAAGGATGATAGAATAGACATTATGATTGCTGTATGTATATAGGTGACTCTATGACCAGTGTGATTCTGCAATCAGTACAATCAGAAAAATGAGAAATTATACCCCAATTGATTCAAATGTGTGAACTGCCAAGATCATTTTAAAATTTTTTAAAATAAGAATGAATAAGAAACCACTAAAAGGTTTGATAAAGGAGTAAAATCAGATTATGCGCTGATAATGATGATGATGATGATGATGATGATGATTCTGCTGGGGACCGAACCCAGAGGCACTTATCCACAGTGTCATATCCCCAACCCTTTTTTAAAATTTGAAACATGATCTCACTAATTTGCTTAGGGACTTGCTAAATTGCTGAGGCTGGTCTCAAAGTTGTGATCCTCCTGCATCTGAGATCACAGGCGTGCACCACCACACCCAGCTAGATTATGTGTTTTTAAAGATCACAGTGTTTGCAGGGCCAAAAACAAACCAGAGAGTGCTCTCCAAGAGTCAGATAACCACTTTGGGTACAATTACAGTGGTCCAGGGAAGATGGAGGAAGTATCAGGAGGGCAATCAAGATGGAAATGACAAGTTCCAAGAAGACTGGGATGGCAGAACCAAATGAGCTTTGTACTGGATTGGCCATGGCAGGTAAGGGTAAGGAAGGAGGGTTGTCAAGGATGATACCTTGTGCAGCTGAGTGGACGTGGCTGCCACTCACTGAGTCAGGATACTGTGGAGGTGGAGGTTTGAACATGTTAAGACTGAAAAAGTTCACGTGCACTATATAGTCTAGAGCTTGAGAGTCTGGGCTAAGAGATTTGGGCATTATCAGTTTACTACTTGGCCTCTATTGCTTATTATTCTGGGTTCTGGCTTCTAAACTCTTAACCTGCCAGTGCCCATCTTAAATTACAGTGCACAGTGGTCTGACCTGTGTAGGTTTTTGCAGGATTATTAGATTTGTGACCAGAACCCTGAGTCTATTAATTCAGTCTCAGAGTCTATTAATTCAGTCTTATTGTTATCCTCATTAACCATTTGGCTCATTTTGTGAATATCAAGGGGCCTTATTTCACATGAACTGCTATCTAGACAGGTCTGCCTCATCCAATATCTGGAACTGATTGCTTATTTTTTAACCAAATTCAAGACTCCTCATTAAATGCTTTCTTAGGACTTGTGGCTGATCTCATCCTTCTGGGCCTCAGATAATTTAGGCTTATGGTTCTGGCTTCCAACTAGACAGCTCACACTCGATCATTTGCACACTTGGTCAGCCTAATCCAGGGGTCTCACCTTCCCCAGACCCTCAGAAAAAGAAATTAGACTTTTTATTTTTATTAACCTCAACCTCTAACTAAAAATTATCATTTCCTTCAATTATAAATGCAAGCAAAACCCCCACTAGTATCAGTCATACCTGGGACTTGTCACTAATAGAAATATATTTTTATATCCTACTACAGTGGTTATAAAATTCCCAAAATAGTTTGTTCATTACTAAGAGAAGCATATTTGCTACTATCATAATTTTTTAACATTTTGGCAAAGTAAGTCAATTGGTAATGCTTCAATCTTATGATCCATATTTTATGAACTTTGAAACAATCCTGGAGCTAGGAGTGGTATTGCATGTCTGTAATCCCAGTGACTCAGGAGCCTGAGGCAGGAGGATTGCAAGTTTGAGTCCAGCCTCCACAATTTAGCAAGTCCCTAAGCAATTTAGCAAGGCCCTGTCTCCAAATGTAAAAAAAATAATAATAAATTTAAAAGGGCTGGGGATGTGGATCAGTGGTTAAGCACTTGTGGATTCGATCCCCAGTAACAAAAAAAAAAAAAAAGAAAAGAAACCTATACACATAATCTTGTAGGGTGCAGTGACATACACCTCTAATTCTAGCTACTCCTGAAGCTGAATTAGGCCAATCACAAATTCAAGGCCAGCATAGGCAACTTAATGAGACCCTATCTCAAAATAAAAAGGGCTGGAAATATAACTCAGTGGTAGAGCACTTATCTAGCATGCACAAGCTCTGGGTTCAATCTCCAGTAGAAGGGAGGAAAAAAACAAACATAATTCTGAGGAAGGGTCAAGAGACACCTCCAGACTGCCAACAGGGTTCCTGGCACAAAATATGGCTCAGAACCCCTGGCCTGAGTGAGCTCCCCCAAGACCTCCTGCAGAGCACCCCTCCTGAGTAGACAAGGTTCCTGAGTTCACATATTCATGCAGTCTCACGAGGTCCCACTGGCAAGGGCCTGGATTATGTGGAAACAGACCACTGTGCTGGACAAAGGTAGGTCGTAGGAAATAGACCAGGGAGAAAGAAGAAAGGAAGACAGGAAATAGGTTGGTAAGAGGCAGATTTTAGTCCAAGAAACTCACTCAGAGCTGTGGAAAATTCAACCTTTATTATTTCCTGCCTAATGCAGGGGATTAAAGTTGTCTCAAGCTAGATCCATATATTAGTGTAAAAATCTGTGTCTCTCCCCCCAAAAATGTACAAACCCCAAGTGATTATAGAAAAACCATTTTGGCAGCTAATAGAGATGTCCAACCCCAAGGCCAAAGGCCATCACTCCCTCTTTTCCCCTAATCCCAGTTTACTCCACAGAAATATACAGGTTTAGAGAAGTTCTAGCTACACACAGATGGCAGGTGGGTAGTAGGGAATCCCCAGGTCCAGTGTATTGGGGATGGAGGAGGAAGCCAAAGCTGAGAACAGTTCCGGGGTAGGCTCAGGGAACAGCTTTCTTCCCTACTTGTCCTTTCTACCCCCTAAATTCTCAGCCAGTGGGGTCCAGTGTGTGACAGGAAGAGAGAGGCTGGGGACACAGCCAACTCCTCAGGAACCAGTGTTATCCAGTGGGACCCAGGTGTTCAATAGGCCATGTCCAGTGTCTGCCCTGCATTTGTCCCCACCCTTCCCCAAAGGATGGTGAAAGAAGTCAGAGAGGATCCCATCCATAGGGCCAGCTGGGTGGGTGGCAGGAGCTTCTAAGGAGGAGATGGAAGGAGAAACAGGACATGGACATGAGCATATGTCCACTGAAAATGGAGTTATCAGCTCCCTGGGCAGGCCCAGCCCACCTGTTGTCACACTGCCTCTCTTGGTGCTGGGCAGCTGGAAGAGGATGAAATGGGGATACCATAGGCTCCTCTTGTTTTAGTATCACTGGTTTCTCCCCAAGGGGGTGGGCAGCTGAATGTTGTGATTCACACTGTATTGAGTGCATCTTCTGCCAGGAACCGATGCAGTTGGGAAAAAGGGGGTCGCTGCTCAGGCTCCCTGCTCCAGCACTGAAGCATCAGCTCATACAGGCCCTGTGGGCAGGCAGGTGGCCGGAACAGGTACACCTGTATTGTGGCAACATGGATGAGAGGCAGGGAAGAGGTTCTTCAAGTGTCCAAGATGACATGCTTTGCCCTTCCCAGTCCTCCCCACCCCCACTGCAATCCATCTCCCCTCCCTCTGCTCTGACCTGTCGTCCCTGGTCCCGGAAGAACTCCCCAGCATTCTCGATGACTTGCTCGTCGGTGAGCTGCCCAAAGGGTTGGGCCCTACAGAGCATCAGCACCTCCCACAGAGTCACCCCAAAGGCCCACACGTCACTGGCCGTTGTGAACTTCCCCTGGCACAAGGAAAGGGTGACAAAGGCAGAGAAGGGCACCAGGCAGCTTAGCGGTGCAGAAGCCCAAATCCACCCAGCCTGACTCCTCCCAGCCTCAGGCTCTATTCTCCTCAGCTGGTCCCTTTCCCAACAAGCTGGTCCTCTCTCTCTCTAGAGTTCTGCTTCTTCTCCCATGCTTTGGTTCCCTCTTCCTTCTACTTATCCTTTGTCTCCATCTGCCCCCCTGACCCTGAATCTTCCCCCAGGTCCTTCTGTCTCTAGTAAAAATATGGCTCAGAATTCCAGGCCTGAGTGAGCTCCCCGAAGACCTCCTGCAGAGCACCCCTCCTGAGTAGACAAGGTTCCTGAGTTCCTATATTCTTATCTCTTATCTCTCTGCTACTCTGCCTATCCTCTGTATCCACTGCTCTTGGTGCCTGAACCCATCATACTGCTGCTCCTCATTTCTCCAGTCCCTTGAGCCAGAGAGACCCTCATTTTATGGATGAGGAGACTAAAGCCCAGAGAAGCCAAGTGACTAAAGGAGCCACAGAACTGAGAATGGCAGCTGGTTTCCTCCACCACCACCCTACCTCTCTTCAGGTTGCTTACCATGAGGATGCATTCCCAGGCCATCCACCGGATGGGCAGTACTGCCCGGCCCTGCACACGATAATAATCCCCAGCATAGAGGTTTCGGCTCATGCCAAAGTCAGCAATTTTGATGGTGAAATTTTCCCCAACCAGGCAATTCCGTGTGGCCAGGTCTCGATGTACAAAGTTGAGTGTGGCCAAATAACGCATGCCTGAGGCGATCTGGGCTGCCACATGCAAGAGCATCGGGTAGCTGAGCAAGAAAGGCAATTATTGGGAGTCACTGGGAGTCATCCCCAGACTCCTCCTTTCCTCAAACATCCCTGTCCCGGAGAGGAAGGGAGCCTAGCCCCAGGACCACGTCACTTCTGCTCCCAGGGAGGAGAGGGAATACCCATGTGTAGGCCAGTGCAGGCTCCCACTCAACCTCTCTAGCTCATCCAACCCTGGGGAGCTTGTGTTTTGTTAGGCTCTGCCATCTGGACTCAGGGGTGATAAGGCTGAGGGAGGGCAGAAAGGAATTCATAGCAGCGTCTAAGTCCCTTCACCACATTCAGTAATCTCCAGCCTTTCTGGCCAAGTTTCTGGATTTCTATTGTCCCAGTTCCTCCTGAAATCTCTATCTGCCTCTCTTCCCCCATGCTCCTCTCTTTCCCTCAAGACTGAAGTTGAAAGAGGAGGAGAACTGCCTGGGAGTTCTCAAGGAAGTCCTTGCCTGGGTACATGGGTACCTGATGGTGGGCCCCTGGGCAGCCTCCCCATCCCTGGAGGCCCCTTCGGCTGCCTTGTCTTCCAGCTGATGGGCACTGAGAAACTGGTTCAGGTCTCCATTTTCCATGTAATCAGTAATCATGCACAGGGGGTCATCCTGCACACACACACCCAGGAGCCGGATGATGTTAGGGTCCTTGAGTCGTGACATGATCTTCACTTCCTTCAAGAAATCATTCCTGGGGAAGCAGGAAGAAGGTGGAGGGAGCACCAAGGGGTGGCCTGTACCTTCCCTCCTGCTCATAAGGAAAAGTTGTCTCCACCCTCAGCACACAAGCAAACTTTCCACCCCAGACACCAGTCCTCTCTTGGTCCATACCATAGTTCTCTCTACATTGCTCCCTACTCTTCTGGGCCTCCCTTCCCTTCTTCCAGATACTATTCCTGATACTCACCTGGCATTCTTGGTAGCATCTGGCCGTAGGATCTTGACAGCTACCAGCAAGGGTTGTCCCTTGTGTACATTGATGGGGAAGTCAAGACTGACCAGATCTTGAGGGTTCTCTACCTCACACAGGTGCACCTAGAGAAAGAAAGTCATTTCCTAGAAGGTCACAAAATCAAATGGAGTAACATTGCACAGATGGTAAGGTTTTTGGCCAAGCAGGCATGACCTCAAAGCGCCCAGTCAGGGCAGACACTATTGATGGCCAGGCAGGCATCCTCCTTACCTCCCCAAACTGGCCCTCGCCAAGCTTCTCCTTGAAGCGGAGCCGTGACCGAGGGAAATCCACTCTGGGGGGCCCATCCCCAACTGCCCCTGGGGGCAGTGCAGGCACAGCATAGGTGTTGCCCCCGGTGACGCCCTGCAGGGTAACAATGTCAGCCTCGGCATAATGGGGGACGCTGTTCTGGGGAGGTGGGGGCAGAAGCGGGGCACCTGGCTTCTCAGGCTCCATATAATCCCCATTGCAGGCTGGAGGAGTGAGGAGAAAGAAAACGGGACAAGGCATCAGGATCAAACCCTAAGAGCCACAGTTCACACCCCAGCCTCCCCAAGGCCCTCCATGTCTTCCATTTGGGTGAGAGACTGAATCCACCCTGCATCTCCCCAGTATTCCAACCACCAACCTCAAACCAAAGAAAGCACTGGGGTGAGATAAGAATTAACTACTCTAGGGCATTTTTCAAGATAATGAAAATGGTTGATCAAAAACTATTATAAAATCTTACTGTTTAGGGATCTCCCAGCATAGCCTAAGAGACAATGAGATGAGTCTTGGATGGAAGAGGAATTCATCTACCACCATCAAAGAAGGAGGGTTCAGCCATCCAGTCTCCCTCACTCTCCAAACCCTTGTCCCACTCACCACCAACTTCCTCTTGTTCACTTATCTGTTCTCCCACTTCTCATAGCCTGACTTTTCCCTGCCATGGTTACCCTAACTCCCCAACCCAACACACCAAGCTCAAAGACAGGCAGAGACAGGGGCACACAGAGAGGGAAAAGGGCAACAGTACCTTACAGCCCCCAAAACAATTGTCTACAGACAGGGAGGGAAGCAGAGCTATCCCCTCGTGGTGCTGGGGAAGGGACCACAATGAGAAGGCAACATGGAGGAGGGGAGGAGAGACAGGAAGGGTGGAGTGTGAGCCTTCACCTCTGGGACTGCGAAGAGAGGACACATGGGGGAAGAGGGCAAGTGCCCAGGGTGAGAGGCCCTCCTTGCAGCTCTAGAGAAAGGGGAGAATAAAGGTGTTACAAGAGAACCTGGGGCGCCACAGCAACCTCCTCTCCAGCTCTGGAGAGCTGTAGAGACAGGGTATGAGAGGAGGAAGGGACAGAGCCAAGACCGATAGGACTACACCTCGGCTAGAGGGGGAGGCCTTCAAAAGGAGCAAGAAGCAATAGTGGTGAGTGAAGGGCACAAGAGCTCTGCCAGGGAGCTCAGGAGAGCAGAAGAGGCCACAGTGGGGAGGAGAGGGAGTGCAAGGTGTGAGGGCTTCTCCCTGCCCCAGTGGAGGTATGGGGAGCCTGGTGGAGCCCAGGGGCAGAGGGGCTTACCCTGGGTGTTGGTGGGTTTGGCCCAGGCGGGTGTGGGGGGGCCCGGGCCTCGAGGGGGACGGGCGTAAGTGGCCAGAAGGAGGCGGTAGGCTGGATTGGAGAGCAGCAGCGCTGTCGGGAGAAGGAGGGGGGAGACACGGGGAAGGGATGAGACTCAAGGCTAGACAGACAGGGAGACCTGGAATAGGGCAAGACCAGGGTGATGGGACTGAATGTACTAAGAGAGGATAAAACAAGGACCTGGAGAGTGGTGGAGAGCTGGTAGATTGGTGATTGATGGACAATAGATGGGGATGATAAACAGACGATTTGATGGATAGACAAATGGATATATAAATATAGATAAATGGATGGATGGTATATAGATAGATGGAAGGAAGGATTAAACATGGTGAGTCTAGGAAAATGAAGATAGGGGTCAGGGAGACACAATAGAAAGTAACAGAGAATATAGAGAAATGTATGTATGATACAGAGACAGAATGAGACCACTGGGGATTATGGATAATAGATGGGAAATCCTTCAGGAAGATTATATGGTCGAGACATGGAGTGATGAAGGAGGTGAACAGAGGCACAGAAATAAGAAAATAAATTGAAACTAGGGAAGACAGGAAAAGAAAAAATAGGAAAGAGAGAAAGAGGGATACAATAAGAAGACAGGCAGAGAGGATGGAGGTAGGACTGGAACAAAGAAGGCCTTACCAGAGCCACCAGGGACACAGGGAGCAGAGTGGGGTGGATTCCCACGAGGCCGGGGCTCCTGGTAAGGGGGTGGTTCTCGGGGACCTGGGCGATTGTTGATGAGGATGGTGTCCCCGGGAACAGAGAGATGAACTGTCAGCTCCTCTTCCAATACCCGTCGCTCAGCCTTGTTAGAGGAGTGGGCAATGTTAAGTGTTGCCCCTGCGTAGCACACGTTTCCTGGCACCTTGTAAGTGCTGTTCCTATGTTCTCCTCTTTAATCTTCACAATAGTCCTACAGTTGTAGCTCCTACATATGCCTAATTTCACAGGTAAAGAAACTAAAGCTCAAGAGCATTTAAGTAACTTCCCATATTTATCAACCTCAAGGACTTGGGAGAATCCAAGCATCTTCCATTTGCCCCTCTCACTCTACTCTCCATCTTTTTCCACCACTCCTGCCCCAACAGAATGACCCAGTGTGGACTGTCACTAGCTGGTTAAAGTTGGTGAGAGAAGAACCCCAACCAGAGACTGAAGGGAGAAAATGATGTCAGGGGATTTACTCTCCCATCCTCTCCCTCGGGTCTGGACTGCCACAGCCTGTATCCCTGCTCTAAAGTCCACCCCTCAGCTCAAGGCACCCTCTCCAGACTCACTCCTCCCAGGGATTCGATACTGCAGCTTCCTCTCGCCCTAGCAGGACCACAGGAATGGGAAAGTGACCCGCTCCTTGTAATGCCCTGCATCCAACTCACACCTTTGAAAGTGGTCTCTAGTTACACTATTAGACTTTGCCCTGCCAGCCCTGCTGGACTGTGATATACCTGTGCCTGGACAGTGAGGGGCTCTATGGGAGCAACTTCTCCACCCTCATCCCACCAGCACCACCCACCTTGCTGAGGAGCCTGCGCCAGTGCAGCCGCCAGAGCATGAGGGCAATGATAAGCAGCAGCAGCAGGATGATCGCCACCAGGCAGCCTATGAGAATGGCAGTTGGGCTCCCCTCTGCCTTGGCCACAGGCTGCTGGCCCCGGGGCTCCAGCTCTGGCAGAGGCAAAAGGGTCAGCACCCAGAAGGGAGGCCCAGGGAGGAAGGTTGGGCAGGGTCCACATCCCTGGGAGGGGGCCCCACGTAAGAGCCTACTCACCCAAACTACTGAAGTTGGTGGGAGGTGGGCCAGGAGGCCACCAGGGGGCTGGTGCAAAGGTGCCCCCCAGAACCTGAGAGGAGTCATTTACCACATCTGGGGGAAAGGAAGAGAAGAGGCAATTAGAAGGGGAGGAGGAAGGGACCCCCTAGAGGTATGTATGCATGAAACCTAGGGAATTGAATAGAAGCAGGGGTGACAATATAGGCCACCACTGGTCAATCAGAACACCAATCAATCAGAGAACATGGTGGAACAGAGCCCCTGGCTATGGCAGATGTTAACCCCTTAGTCACTGAATGGTGAGGAAATGGAGGGCTTCCTGCCAAGTGGATGGTGATGGGTATCAGGAGGTTTAGAAAAGAGTGGACTCAACTAATACAGAAGTATTTCAGTACTGTCCAAAGGACTGAATCAGGTTCAGTCATGAGTGAAAGGGTCATAAAGAAAAGACAAATAGATACAGGGAACAAGGGAAAAAGAGATGCCAATTATTTCCACCCCAGTAGAGAAGTTTCATGGGTGTTGGGACAATATGATGCCAAGAATGGATATTCTGGGGGTACTACAGGGTTAAGAATTAAGTCAGCTGGCAATCCCAGGGGCTGGGGATGGGGTATACTCCAGGGACTTACCAGAGATGAAGGAAATTTCACTGAAGAGTAACCAGGGCCCCGCAAAGAGGAAGCGGCACTGCAGAAAGCGACCCACTCGGCCACCTAGGGGCACTGAGATAGCCCGGGCTCTGGGGTCCCCTAGGCTGCCTCCCAGGGCATGGCGCATGGGCTCCCCTTCCCAGGCCATGGCAGGGCCCCGCTTGAAGCGACACTCCACCCCGCCTGGCAGGCGGGCTCCCAGTGTGTGCATGTTGTTACAGTGTACCTGGGAAGAAGGGAGAGGGACACAGGGTCAGAGCCGGAGAGCCCTGAGGGTACCAGAGCAGCACCCACCCTGTCTTCAGAGCCTTCCCAGAGAGGCAGGCTCACTTACCTGCATGGCCTGGAAGGCCCTCAACTGCTCAAACTCAAACTCCATCTCCACATAGCCACTGGGGAAGCTATGGTTACTCCATCCCACATAATCATAGCCTGGCCAAACTCGAAGTTCCTGGCTCTGCCTAAAGTCATCCAGCCCTACTACACCATCTGCCAGCTGGCCCAGACCACCATACTGCAGCCTGGAGAAGAGGGGAACAAAAAGGGGAGGTTGGAAGGGAAGAGGGTATCAACTACCCAGGTGCTTTACACACCCACCCCAGTGGCCTGGGCGGCCTGGCTCCCATCCATTCATCCCATTCCCACACCACCAAACTTCTTGCAGCTCTCTCCTCTAACAACCCACCACACCAGGCCATCACAGATACTTTGCAGATGACACACTGCACAAAGGCACCCTCTGAGGTACACTATTCAATCACTATTATGATAATTTCCATAATAAGATGATCTTAGCCAAAGGGTGCCTTTTTCTAATTTTTACTGACTTATGAGCTAATAATCATCTTGCTACCATTTATTCCATCCCACCTAACAGATCTCTCTCCCCAGTTCTTCCATTTTACTGCCCAGACTACTTACCAAAACCCCACACACACTCTGGCCTCCCACCCACCCCAGGCTCCACATCCGCAGGGCCCATTCCTCTCACCCGCCAACAGTATATCCATCATAGGTGGAGTCGTTGAGGTGCACGGCTTCAGATAAGTACATCGTTTGCCCCACAGGGGCTGTGTAAGACAGAAGTCCATCTGGGGCAGGTGGGAGGAGGGGTATTAGAGGCACATAGCCTCCATTCCCTACCCCTGCATCAGGCTTGGGAGATTTCAGTCCCTTTTTTGTATCCCTCCACTGGCCCATTATCATGGAGGAGGCAATGTTGACTAGTCCCTTCCACATCCAGAGGGACAGCTTCCCAATAGGAGAAAGGGTCCTGGGTGCCTTTCTTTACACTCCCCACCCTCAGTCCCCAGAACTGCAAATGGATTATTTGGGGGCTGACCTACTCACCCCTCCAGAGGCAGCCATAGAGCTCCACTCGCAGACAGACGCTCATAACACGGTCAGCCCGGGGGTAGAAGCGAACCAGGCGGGCCACCATGGGGGGCCCAAGGTCCTTCAGCACCACTCCCCCAGGGTCCTCATTACCTGAGATCACCTGTGGGCCAGGAAATGGGGAGCATGGGTAGGAAGGGCCCCGAATCAAATCTAACTTCCCAGCTATCTGTTGTTCCCTGGACCAGCCCACAGTGGCCACTAAAAAAACCATGAAGGGTGATACTGAGTGCACAGTTCTGTGGGGTGCAGCCAGGCATTTGCAAATATGGGTCTGCGGCAGAGATCTCTGACATCATGGCCCTGGAGGTCTGACCTCCAACTCCATTCTCAGCCCCCTCTCCTTGCCTGGCTCCATTTGTCTCCAAGTACTCATGCTATTATTTCCAGATCCTAACCAATCCCTCAGGGCCCTGCACCCCACCTCAGCTTCCCCCTCTCGCTTCATCCCATTCCTTCTGTTCATTCAGCCAAAACTGGCTGAGTGCCAACTCTGTGACACTCATATCGTCAGTGGTAAACATCAGTCCTTCCCTCCACAGAACTGGGATTACAGTAGGAGAAACAGCTATGAGGAACAAAAGACAGTATGTGGGGACAGAACAGTGAGGCAGGTGGTCAGCCAAGGCTCTCGAGGTAACATCTCAGAAAATGGAGCAAGGGGGAGTCTGTGGGTATCTAGGGGAGGAGCTTGCCTGGCCCAGAGAACAGCAAGTAAAAATGTCCTGTCATGTGGGAATGAGCCCTGGCTTGTTCCAGGAAGAGCAAGCAAAGCAGTGAGGCCAAGGCAGAGCAAAGCATAGGCACAGCCAGAGAGAGGTCAGGCTAAAGTCCGTGCCCACTCAAGATTAGTTTTTGTTCTGGCAGAGCGGAATACCAGTGGCAGGCCGAGAGGTGGGATGATATGTCTGATTTACATTTTTTTAAGTTCTGCTATACGTAGCATGGAGGTGGAGATTTCACTTCAGGCAGAAAGGGGCAGCAAAGCAGGCAGAACAGTTTGGAGACTGCTGCATTCATCTAGCTGTCAGGGGTGGCATTTGGCCTAGGTCAATAGAGTAGGGAGAAGCGGTGGGATTCAAGAAATGCCAATGGAGGTAGAGCAGGCAGGCCCTGCTGATGCTTTGGAAGAAGGAGGTAAGAGGAAGAGAAATAGGGAATATTATCTTAGCTCATGGTCTGGGCAACTCAGCAATTTTGTGATCTGAGAAAGCTGGGGAAGAACAAGATGTCTTTTTTTCTTTTCCTTTTCTTTTTTGGTGGTACCAGGGATTGAACCCAGGGCCTTGTGCATGTTAGGCAAGTGTTCTACCACTGAGCTATATCTCCAGCAAAAGAACAGGTTTAAGGTGGGAGTTCCACCTGGGAAGTAAATGATAAGTATGAGATGCTCAAACACCGACTTGGCAAGGTCCAGGATGTCCTCAGTTTGCAATACTGAGTAATGCTCAGGGGAGAAGCCAGCACTGAAGATGCTATAACTGGAGCATCATCAGTGTTCAGGTGCTATTTAAGTGTCATTGGAGGAGAGAGGAGTCAGCCTCCCTTGGGCACTGCCCCAACCAGCCTCACCTCCTGACCCCAGCGATCCTTCCAGTCCATCCAGCGGTGGCCGTCCCGGGAGTAACGCAGCCGGTAGCTGCGGGAGAACTCTTTGCCCAGGCCCCCAGCATGGCGTCCCTGGGTGCCCACCAGAGCCACGAGGTGTAGCCGCCGTAGATCCACCTGTAGGTACTCCTCCTCCTTGGGAAACACTGGCCCCGCAGGACACCATGCCCCATCCCCATCACTGCTCTCCAGCCTGGGAGGAGGAGGGAGGTCACAGGGAACATATGGCAGTAGGTCTGAATCTGTCTCTAATATTTACAACCTGCTCCCACTGGACTGCTGGGATTTCAATGGTAATGAACCTCTCAAAAGCCTCTTAGCTTGGTCAGATGGTCTGTAAGGGCAAATAAAGATCCCAGAGCAGCCCCAAATGTGCCAGATACCTGCTGTGGCGAGCAGCAGTGGAGTCTGACCAGGAGCTGGAGACAGAGATGTCACTGTCTGGAATGGTGCGGTCTTGCATGCCCAGGGCGTAGCGGCACTTGGCTGGATGAACAGAGCATGTGATGGGTCAAGGCCTTCAACTCCTTACTCCCCACCCCAAGCCCTGCCCGTCAGGGACCCAAGATTCATTCTTCTCACCAGGGTCAAAATGTCCCTTCATGTCAGCATCTCCAGTTGCTACCAAGAGCAGTAGCAGCAGCAGTAGAGATGAGAGGACCTCTGGCCCCATAGCTCCTGATCCCTCAGGCCTAAGGGGGTGGGGGCAGCATCTCTGCAGGAGACAAAATGGATAGGAGGGTAAGTTAATAAGGGGGACTGAGTCACACCAACAGCAAAGACAGGGTGGCTGTCTTGGGGATATGAGCAGTAAAATGACAAGAATGGTCATTGTTGAATAGCACTGACTCTATTTTTAGAATGCCTCCCATGTCCCAGACACTGGGCTAAACCTTTAAACAGAATCCATAATTTTATCTTTGGTCACTTTAAAAGGTAGATTCTGTTACTATCCATATTTAACACATGAAGAAAGTAGTCTAGAGATCCATTAAATAATATGCCTAGAGCCCCATCCCCCCTATAGAAAAAGGACAAAATACCCCATTTACAATGGCTTCGAACAAACAACAAATTTTCAAAAACATGTAGACAACATGTAGAACAGAAAAATGGTTACAGTTACAATAAACAAAGGACCCTTACAAATCAACAAGAAAAAAGTATATAAATAATACAATAGAGAAGTTGCCAAAAGAATTTGAATAGTCATTTCATAGAAGAGCAAAAAGTCCAGTTGCCAACAAACATTTATATATTGTTGTTTTATTTTGTTTTTTTGGTACTAGGGATTGAATTCAGGGGTATTTAACCACTGTGCCACAGCCACAGCACTTTTTACTTTTAATTTTCAGAAAAGGCCTCACTAAATTGCTTAGGGCCTCTTTAAGTTCCTGAGACTTACCCTGAACTTGCAATCCTCCTGCCTCAGCCTCCTGAGTCACTGGAATGACAGGAGTGTGCCACCAAACCCAGCCAAACATTTATCTTTAAACAGTGAAAATCACTATAGAGTCAGGGAAATATAAATCAGATATAGGGTCTGGCTATGTTGCCCAGACTGGTCTCCAACTCCTGGGCTCAAGTAATACTTTTACCTTAACCTTCAGGAAAAAGGACTATAGTAGCACACCACTATACCTAGCTTAACAAGATATTCTCTAAGGTTTTAATATTTATAGGTAGTGACAGTGGTGAAAAGGGAGCCACCATGCTAGACAGTAGGAATTTAACATTGTCATCTATCTACTACTAGAAAACAATCTAGTGGTATCGTTATAATTAAAAATTCACTTTCCCTGAAATCCCAAGTTCCCCTCCTGAGGAGCTAATAAAAAGGATGGGAGAAGTCTCAGAAGAATGGTTTTACAAAGATGGCATCTTGGGGCTGGGGATGTGGCTCAAGCGGTAGCACGCTCACCTGGCATGCGTGCGGCCCGGGTTCGATCCTCAGCACCACATACCAACAAAGATGTTGTGTCCGCCGAGAACTAAATAAAAAATAAATATTAAAATTTAAAAAAAAAAAAAAAAAAAACAAAGATGGCATCTTTGTAAGGACCCAAATTTGTAAGCCATGTAAATGCCTACAGGGGACCAGATGAGAAAAATAAATAAGGTTCAGTGGGCTTCTGTGCAGCTATGAAAAGTAACAAAGAAGCAATAAATTTCTGACTTGGTATGATTTCCTTGTGCCATGGTTGAAAATGAAAAGCAAGATACAGAAGTATAAAGGGTTATCCTACTTTCTGTAAGCAAAGAATAAACGAACTCCTGTGTTTGTACACATGTCTATGTGTAGAGAGGATACGCAATAGAACGTGAGTTAACATGAATAGGCCAAGAGTTGGGAAAGCAAACAAAAAGGGAAAAAAGATATGCTAATGATACTATTTTACTAAAACAATACTTATACATGTGTGTAAAGTCATGTGATATATATAAAAGAATATAAAATCACTTTGAGCCAGGTACCATGGCACATGTCTATAATCCCACCTACTTGGAAGGTTGAGGTGGGAGGACCTTGAGTTTGAGGCCAGCATAGGCAACTTAGCAAGAACACAACCTAACTCAAAGTAAAACAAAACAAAACAAAATAAAAATTATTTTAATTTCCAAAAAGCAAAGATACATCTTTTTGATAGTGTATGCCTATAATCTCAGTGGCTCAGAAGACTAAGACAGGAGGATTGCAAGTTCAAGCCAGCCTCAGCAACACAGTGAGGCCCTGGGCAACTTAGCAAGACCTTATTTCAAAATAAAAAATAAAAAGGGTGGTTAAACACTCCTGGGTTCAATCCTTGGCACAAAAATAAATAAATAAAAGCAAAGACGCTCTAGGAAAGGTTGAGCAACACCTTGTTAAGGATACAATAAAATTAGACATCAGATAAGCCTGGACCTGCTGACCTTGGGCCCCTCCAACCTTGAAGCCCAGAACCTAAGAGAAGTGCAGGATCCCAGCACCTTCCAATCCCATTGTCCCCTGCAGTCCTCAAAGCCCTAGACTAGCAGCCTCAGCATCTTCTGGGAACTTTGGAGAAAAGCAGACCCTCAGGCCCCAGAGACTTTCTGCATTTTAACACCATCCCCAAGTTATCTGTGCCCCCTAAAGTTTCAAAGTCTCGACTTTGTTCCCCTGGAATCCAGGCAGCTTACCCTATCTCAAACCATTCCAACTGGCATCTCCTTACACACCTAGGTATCCACTGTCCCCCGCCCAGGCTTCAAGAAAAGCTATCTTAACCTATTGCTTGCCAGAGCTCTGCACATCATTCCAGGCCCTGGAATCTTGAAGGACCCTATTGACACCTCTCACACCCTACCCCACCCCCACCATCAGGTCCAAAGCATCTTGCCCCCAGCTTTCCTTGCTGGGCCTGACATTCCATCACCTCCAGTTCCCACTTTCTAAAGGTAACTGCTTCTGAAGGAAGAGCCCAGGGCTGAGGAAAAAGCTGAGTTGCCTTGGCGATGAGGGCGGGTCTAATGACAGGGAAATCAGGTCACCCCAGGAGGTAAGAGGAGTAGGGGGGATAGTCCCCCATCCCTTTGTCCTCCTCCAGCTGCTCCCACAATGCTCCAGGGTAGGAATGTAAGAGGCAGCTGAGACCCCATAGCCATGAAGCAGCAGCTGAAGGGGATGACTGTGGGGGGTCACTTGGTTATCAAAGGAGAACCTGGAACCAAAGGGCACCATGAGTAGTCCCTTGGGAGTCCAGCACCCCGTGCAGGGGAGCCATCTGCCAGAATCCCAGGATACTGGCTGGGAATTTCTGGGTGCTGCTCTCCACCCCCACCTCTCTGGGAACAGCGGAGCCCTTGTTCCCCAGAGTAACCTTCATGCCTATCCCAGATGAGTCATCAGAGTCAGTCAGAGCAGAGAGGAGCCTGGGGCAGAGATACAAAGACTGGCAGAGGACAGTAGACAGGGGGAGACAGAGCAGAGACACAAAGCAAGAGGTAAATGGAACAGGCTCAGAGACTCGGGGCACAGGGCCAAGCAGAGAAACAAGGAGAAACAGCAAGGTCTGCTTGGCTGTTGTCCTCCAACACCACAAATCTCTATCCATTGGGTCTGGCTTGACCCCACAGTCAGACACCCAAAGTCCAGACCCAGAAGACCCACACTGCTATCCAACCAATTACAAGCCAGGAGCCAGGATACCCTACCTCAGGGCCTTCATTCTTCTCTCCCAAACCCTGCCTCCCACCCCAATATCTCTCTCTCTCTCTCTCTCTCTCTCTCTCTCTCTCTCTCTCTCTCTCTCTCTCTCACACACACACACACACACACACACACACTTCTTGAGTGGGGTGTAAACACTGGGGCTAAATGTAGCCCAGGCATACACACCTGTGGGTAGACAACCCTTCACAGGCTTTCAGAGGCAGGGCAAATACCAATACTCATGCACACATCCATCACATCCACACCTTGGCATTCTTTAAAGTCCAATCCCAGTACTTAGTGAATGGCCACCTTCAGACACCTGTAAGTACAAAATGGCAGATGCCTGCTCCTATAGAAGACAATGTAAGACACACTAAGGTCCTCAGGCACAGGAACCAAACAGAACTAGGCACACCTCTTGATCATATACATGGGTGACAAAGCCAGAAGGAAGTCAGCGGGATGGGGGCAGGTGGAAACCTGGATGAGAAGAGTAACATTAAGAACAAGAGCTATTTCTCCATTTCCTCATACATTCTGCTTTCACCTGTCTCAACAGTACCACTAAGTTCTGGACACACCTACCATCCAACAGTAAGTCCCAGTGCCAGTCAGACACTGGACCTGTAAGGTGAAGGCTGGGGACAAAGGGGTGGGACTCTGAAAGTGTTACTCACTGGGTAGTGACCTCATCTCATGGCAGAACCAACCAGCCATCCAGCCGATTGTCCCTGGTAGGTTAGGTGTCAAGCCCTCTCCCTGCTGGGCTGTGGTCAGGTTGTCCAACTGGGAGTTGCCCGAGTGGAGGCTTAACAGTTAGTAGATGCCCACAGGACTGGCCGGCTGCAGATCGAGCCGCTTCTCCCAGGACGGGTGAGACGAATCAGTGGCGCCACATATGCGCACCTGTCCTCCCGGGGATCAGATCCGCCACAACGAGTACAGAAGGGGGTCTTCCCCATGGCTGGGACACTTTCTCGGAGGTCAGAGAGTGAACCAGAGCCCTGGGACCGCAGGAAGAGACGGAGTTCCCCCGCCGGCCCTCACCCTCAGGCGCCGCCCTCGCCCCCCGCCGGCGTGGTCCTCCCGCCGCTCCCCCTACCTCTCATCGCTCTTCCCAGCAGAACCGCAGAACCAGGCGTCCGAGCCCGGAGTAGGGCCTCCTTGGCGGCGGGGCGAGGGGAGGGGGAGCGGAGGGAGCCAGGAGCCGGGAGCGGGAGGCGCCGGCGGGGCTCGGGTGTCGGGAGGCGGCTCCCGCGAGCAGCTGTCGGGGGCCTGTTCCGGGGAGAGGAGCCAGAGCTGGGGCGGCTCGGGCCCAGGCGCCGCCTCCCCGCCCTCCTCCTCCCGCCCGCGCTCCCTCCCCTCGGCCTTCGTGCCGCACGCTTGGGCTCGCCGACCTCCCTTCCCCCTCCCGGGCCCAGTCGACCCCCGGCTCCCACGCCCTGCGCAGCCCTCGCGGCCCCCGCGCTCCTCTCCGCCCCGCCACGCCCACCCCACATTCCCCTGCGCTCCCGGCCTTCCCCAGGTAACCAGTCCGCCACCCCCTCCTCGGCGCGCCATCCCCGCGGTCGCCGGTCCTAGCCAGCAGCCCACTCTCTGGCGCTGCGGACCCAGGCCCGCTCCCTGCCCATCCCCCGCCGCCCTGAGTTCCCCACAAAGAGCACCGCCAGGGGGCCTGCTGCTACCCGCTCAGGGCCCCCTACACGCAGGCCCCAGGAGGGGTTGGCGCCCCTCCCTACTCCCCCTTTTCTGGGCCTGGTTCCTGGAGAGAGGGGAGGGGGAGAGCCCTAGGGCACTGGGGAAGGAGCGGGTTCCCACAGGCCCGGCGCCCAGCCCAGCTACAGGAACCAGAAGGGGGAAGGGAACAGGGCTCACCTGTCCAGCCAGACTCCCTGTTTTCACACCACCAACCTTTGCTTCTCTCTGGCGCTTTCTGGGGCCCCGTCCTCCACAGCCCTACCTAGATTGCCCCAGATCCTGATGGAGGGCCACCCTCTTCCAGCCCCCCTCCTCTCTTTATCCCCTCCTTTCAGTTCCTCTCCCTGGCAGCCCACTCCCCAGTCTTCTCTGGATCTCTGGAGTGTAGATTATCAGACCCTGGTTCCCCTGGACTCCCTGCGCAGGCTCAGAAGTCTTCCTTAGGGCAAGCTTTCCTTAGGCCCAGCCAGCTCTGGCCCTGGTGGGGACAGGAGGGTCGGATTACTGGCAAAGAGAAACTAGAAATGGAACCAGGACGAATTTGGTGGCGGGGAGGAGGAAGAGGAAGGATACTGGTAACATCTGGTGCGGGCTGATCTTTGTTTGGGGCAGTACTGGAGATTGAACCCAGGGCCTTGAGCATGCTAGGCAAGCATTCTACCACTGAGTACATTCCCAAGAGGAGGAAGAAGAGAGAGACACACTGAAAACCAGACACAGCCAACAAAGATGAAAAGATGAAAGCAGAACAGATAGACAAGAGAGAACTGCTGGGCAGTGAACAGGTGAGGTGGGGGACAGAAGAGCTTGTCATGGGGTATGTTTCAGCACCACCTGTCAGCCCCACCTCTCTTACAACCCCACACCCCCAACCACCTAGACAATGTCAGATCACAGTAAGGTCTCTGGCTGTATTGCTGATCTCCACCCCATTGCACGTCACAGCTGATATAAACTCACACCCTGTGTACAGTTTCAAACAACAGTCCCATCAAAGAAACATTAAGTCCCAATCAGACAAGTACACAAAAGCACTACCAGGAAGAGGCTGACCCTTTGGAAAGGCCAAGGCATACAGGGGCATAGGTTCACAAACCCAACAACACTCCAGCTGCTAAGGGACCTGCTTACAGCCCCATGGTCACTGGGAAAAGTGCCTCTTGCCCTCCCCCCAAACCCCCAGAGATTCCCTAGAGCACCTACCCCTGTGCGCCAGCTCTGGGAAATCTGGGGCCGGGAGAGGCGTGCCCAGGGTGGAGCCAGGCTGGGGGTGGGGCCAAGGCTTCCCCAGTAACTTCACCTGGGTCTGCACTTAGCCCCTCCTCCCTAGAGCTGTTTTCTGGGGAAGCCCTGGGAAGATTGGCCAGGCCTAGCTACAGCTCCTCACATCCTAATGGGACATTCCACACCCTAGGCCCATGCTGATATGGACAGAAGTGTCTACTGGGGAGAGTAGAGGATGCCAGAGAGTTCTGAAAGCATTGCCCACTCTTCTCATTCTCCCAGATGAAATTCCTAGTCAGTGATGCCCACCTCACCCAGCCCAGGGCTGGAGGAGTTGGAGGGATATAGGGCTGGGGCCCAGTGGAATCAAGTGACAACGGAAAGGGGGCTGGAGCCGGCTGGAATGCGGGGCTTGGAGCCGAGATTCCCAGGGGCCAGAGAGGGAAATCCCAGCCATTCTGGGGCCCACAGAACAGCACCAAAAGCCGAGAGTTTCTGCCGGCCATCCATAGCTCCCAGTGCCCATTCCTCATTTCTTATACTACTCTCAACCACAGAGGCCCCATCTCCTCCAGATCCCCAAAGGACCTTCCATCCCTCCCCCAAGCATGCCCTCTCAGCCTGGGCTGCCCTTCCCTTCAAGCCTATGGCCTCCTGCTGCCCAGGAAGGAGAGGAGGGGTAACAGCTGAAAAAATGTGAGGAGAGGCACGTAGAGAAGAAAGCCCAGCTCTGGGCCTGCAGAGGCCTGCAGACCACCCGACCACTGCAGGAAAGCCCAGCAGGACCAGTGAGAGGGAGGATGGACCAGATGGGCCTTACAAAACACACACACAACATACACACACACACACACACACACACAATAGTCCCTTCTCTGAGATGCAACTGCCTCTGAGGGAAGCAGGTTGGGTCAGCAGCTGGGGAGAGTGGGAAGAAACTGGTGGGAGGAGGGGGAGGGAATGCGGAAGGCCCTAAGTGCAAGTCATAACTTAATGTCACCAAGTGTAAATGGGAAATCAAAGCCTGGAGTGTGAAGGAGGAAGAAGAGATGACCTAGCTCTGGGAGAAAGATGAGACAGAGTTTAGCTGTGGATAGCCTTGGGGAGAAAGAAAGACTATGGGGACAATAGTGATGGAACTCAGAGAGAGGCAAGAGAGAAACTGAGGCCTAGGCTGGGGAAACTGAAGGTGAGAGAGGGGGAAAGGTGGGTGAGGACAGAGAGCACACACAGCAAAAGGGGGCTCAGGAGGAGACTGAAGTCTGGGGAGAAAAGGAATAGAGGAAGGGAAGAAACACAAACCTCAGAGAAGTGCCCTGGGAGGTAAGCGGACAATGGAGACATGAATCAAGGAAAAGGGGAGAGGAGAGGTTGGAGTGAAAGTGACACAGGGGGAAGAGGTGGGAAGAAACAAGACTGAGGCCCAGAGCTTGAAACCAAGGCACACACAGGGATGAGAAGTAAGAGGATGAGGAAGGAAGGGCCACTTCGGGACAGACAGGAGGGGAGCGGGGAGATGAGGTCCAAAGATGAATCCAACCTGTTTCTAGACTACTGGACCCAGAGGCCCCTCCCCTCCCTTTGGGGACATTCAGCCCCTCAATCTATTTGCCACATGTGGCCTCCATCCATCCCTTCCTCCCCATCTCTATTCCCCATCCTTCTCTTCCTCCCACCACACCTCTAGCCAGGCCCACCTGGTAGGTAACTCCCCACAAAGGGGGAGGGGGGCTCAGCTTCAGTGCCTACTTCTGCTTTCCCAGTTCAGCTCTGACTTTCTCCCTCTCACCTCCAGCTCAGGATTCTCCTGGATCCTAGTCTCCCCAGCCTCGGGCCTTTGGGGTCCCAGCTCTGGGGCTGCTGAGGCTGCCTGGCTTTGTCCAAGAGTCCAGGGCCCGGGGCCCAGGAGCAGCTGCCCGGGCCAGCTGCAGCTGGCTTCAATGTGACCATGGCAACCCAACCGCTCCCCTCGCAGAGCCTCTCAGCCCCCGCAGAGAGAGGGAGGGGACAACCAGGCTGGGGAGAATGGGAGAGGAGGCTGAGAACTGTGAGACTGAGCCAAATGGAGACCCCAGACAAAGAGACCCCAAACAAAGGAAGGAGAATAGGGAAAAGCAGCACTGACTAGCAGTGACTTAAGGCAGCTGCATCAGGTCCTGCAGAGAGGGAAGAGTGGAGCGGGACACTAGAGGAGGGAGAAACCAGAATTGACTAGGGTGGTCCATCCATTGGAGACCTCTTTCTGGGTCTCTGACAATGCACTTCCTCTTTGTGGGATTTTGATTTTGCATCCTGAAAAGAAGCTGAATCCCAATATATTTGGCTGCTCTCAAAGTATGGTACAGTGAGAACCATCCCCAATTGCACCATGGCTATAAAAATTATCTTAAGCCAGAAGGCATCCTCAGATTTCAGGAACACCTCCCCATTTCAAACATACAATGACCTATCACCTGTTAAATACAAGCAGCATCTTCAGACACTGCACTCCAATTCTTGGTTTGGAAACTGTGATCCTCAAAGCCAAATGCCTGATTGGACTTGGAGAGAGTGGGGCCAGAGGGAGGGAGTAATGATGCCTCTCACAGCATGTGAGAGGAAGCCAAGCATCTAATGGGGAGGGGAGAAAGCAACGCTTTGCCAACTGAGAGGATTGAAATCACTACTCCCCATCTGGCTCCCCTTGGCTGCGTCCTATACCACAACCTTCCCTCATCAGTAGGATGGAGACCCAGGAGTCTGTCTGGGTGGTAATGACGTAACATCTGCAAAGTACAGGCCTATCTGATAAAGCAACCATTCAAACTCCACTAACATCAGCTCTCTCTGTGGCTTTCTGATGTGTCACTTGAGGCCTCTGAGTTCCACGTCCCAATTTATTCCACAATTATTATTAAAGTGTGCACAAGGCAAGACTCTAACAGCAAGAATTATGAGAGAAAAAGGAGGAAATAAAAGAGAAGTGTGATACATTCCACCATGGGGCACTTACAGTCCAGAGGCAGAGCCAGGCATGTCAGGACTATAATGGCTGAAGACAGGCTGGCTGAGCTGTAGATGGATCTGGAAGGGACTGTGAAGCCAGAAGAGGGCCAGGTCAGGTCTCATGAATGAGGTAGAATGTGAGACTGAGACTGGGCCTTAGATCAGATTCAGATATGCAGAGACTAGCGAGGGCAGGGAGGTACCAACCTCGGATGTGAACATGCAGCTATGACTAGAAGTCGTGTCCATCCTAATGAGTAACATCAGAAAGGCAGTCTTGGATTCTTCTTCATAGTTTGGCATATTCTGAAGGTAAGGAGGAAGGGATTTGGGGTTTCAGCAGGGAAATGACATGATTGATTTGTGTTTTTTAATAAGTGGTTTCTGGGAACAGCATGTAGGATGCACTGTTCAGGGCAATGGCTAAGGGGAGGGAGGAGTTAATCCCATCTGTGTCCTACCCACATCCTCCTGTGGTTTGCCTCCAGCCCCCAACCAGGAACATCATGAGGAAATGAACATCTTGAGGATCCTATGAAGGTACTGCACATACTGGCTCTTTTCCTCACCTATCCTGTGATGTCTCCTTAAGGACCTCTGACCTTGGGTGGAATAATGGCTGTTCACAAAAACAAAACCAGGACCAGAGTGGTTGGAACTTGCCCTAGATCTGTGGCAAATTGCCACTTCCAGCCCAGGATTTCCAGATTCTTTTACCTCCCTCTTCCAAAATGGATGGGGATCTAGACCAGCTCCCTGAGCTGCTGAACTGCACACACCCCTGATGGGAGGTCCCACCTTTGATGGACTTAAACCTTTAGTTTTTGTGGGTTCACAGTCCTTGCAATTGACAGGAACACCATTGGGGGGCGCTCGCTGCACAGGTGACTAACGTCGACTACTGGCGGGCGAAAGTGAAAGTCCTCAAAGGCTGGAAAACCTGGGCCCGGGAGAGCCTGGAGCCACGGATCGGGAGGACATTTGAGAAAGACTAGCCGCGGGACTAATTAGAGCGCAATACACTGATATTCAGATATTTTGTCTTTTTTAAATATTATTTTTAGTTGTATACTTTTATTTATTTATTTATTTTTAATGTGGTGCTGAGGATCAAACCCAGCGGCGAGTGCTCTACCACTAAACCACACAACCCTAGCCCCAATATGTTGTCTTTTATAGACAGAATCAGTTCTTCACTTTCTTTTCTGCTGTTCTTTGCTAAAAATCTTGTGGCTTGTTAGGATTATCCAGCCTCATCCTGTGCCAGGCTCTGCTCTCAGCACTTTCCAAATGCATTTAATTTGACCCTCATAGGAGCCCTGTGATGGAGCATTTTGATATATACCCACTCCACAGGTATAGAAACTGAGTTTAGAAAATTGAGTACCTTGCCTCCACTTCACACAGAGAGACACACACACACACAGTCACACTCACACACTCAGTAACTGGCAGAGATGGATTCAAACCTGCATCTTTTCCACTCCATAGCTAAGATAGAAGGGAAGTTCTTAGCCATGGTTGTTATGGTTGTTTTGCCTGCTCTAGAGGTCTATAGTAAGTTCTTATCCCTTCTTCCACAATCCTTGAAGTCTTGGGATGCTGTCTTTCATTCTTCCAAGAATACTGGTACCCAAGACATTCTTGTTTGTGTAAAAAAAAAAAAAAAAAAGAAAGTAGAGAGAGAGTCAAAAATGGCAAATGATTTGTTTAAGGTCACCCTGGAAGTCAAGGTCAGCACTAGGATACTAATTCAAACTAAAGTCTATGGATTCCTTAAGGACCCACAAATATCCTGTGAAAATTATGAAAGCCTGTGTTTTCGTTCCTTTGGTAATTTTTGAAAACTATTAGAAGCATATTTGGATCATATATAACTGATCCTGGGACCACATATGAGGGACTGATTAATGCTTGTGTTTATTCATTTATAGCTTCCATTGTCTTGGTTGTGTTTGTACTAAGTGAAGGGCAGGAGACAAGTACTAACATTTCTTAGCAATTTGAATAGACACAAGAAGGGGAAGAGTTGAGTCATTGACAAGCACACAGTGGAATATTGTGCCAAGTTCAAAAGAACCTGCGTTGGGCAGCACATGTTCATGTTGCCAGCAGCAACTTCATTTCAGAAAAACAACACTATTCATCACATTAAATTAATGTTAATTTTTAAATTGCCTTTCTACTGTTGTTCTATTAATTGCTACTTTGTTTTGGTTTCATAACTGCTTAAATGCTGAAGCATAAAGAGTTCATAGCTAGCTATGTTCGCACACATTTAAATTACAAAAATAACTTAAGCCCACAAAAACTGATTTCCTTTCCATTCATACATCAAATATCCTATGAAAATTATGAAAGCCTGTGTTTTGTTTTTGAAAACTATTAGAAGTTTTCATAATTTTTGAAAACTATTAGAAGCATGTTTGGATCATATATAACTGATCCTGGGCCCCATGTGAGGGTGTGACTAATGCTTGTGTTTATTCATTTATAGCTTCCATTGTCTTGGTTGTGTTTGTACCAAGTGAAGGCCAGGAGACAAGTGCTAACATTTCTACCCCTCCCAATGCGGCTAACATAAACCTGGGTTTCAGGAGTCTCCAAGGAAAACCTATAATGATGGATGGAATCCTTGTTAAAGATCCAAAGCCTTCCCCACCCTCAGGACCAATAAGGACGTTAGAACCAGGGGTTTCTAGGCTACTGAGTGGAATTCACAGAGGGAGGAGGTCATAGAACAGACATCTGGGGGTGGGGAACAAGGAAAATTTACAAGATAGTATCAAGAATTGTGGCCAAACCTCCATCTTTCAGTAATTTACCAAAATGATGAACACAAAGGGAAAGAGCATAAGTACCATTTATATGTTTTCTATGCCTTTTAGAAGACATGGTGTTATTACCTTGGCCACATACAGGCAAATCTACAGAAGGGTGATATTGTAGACATTACGGAAATGGGCACTGTTCTGAAAGAAATGCCCCAGAAATGTTACCACGGCAGAATGGGAAGAGTGTATAATTTTGCCCAGCATGCTGTTGGCATTGTTGAAAACAAGCAAGTTAAGGGCAAGATTCTTGCCAAGAGAATTAATGTGCATATTGAGCGTAGTAAGGACTCCAAGAGCTATGATAGCTTCCTGAAAAGGGTGAAGGAAAATGATTTCAAAATTAGAAAGCCACTGGGCACGGTGGTGTACACCTGTAATCCCCAGGCTTGGGAGGCTGAGGATTGTGAGTTCAAAGCCAGCCTCAGGAAAAAGCAAGGCACTAAGCAATCAGTGAGATCCTATGCCCTTCTCCAAATAAAAGATAAAATAGGGCTGAGGATGTGGCTCAATGGTCCAGTGCGGTGAGTTCAATCCCCGGTACCAAACACACACACACAAAAA